GGTGAATAGGCCAGTGGTTCCTTGGGGAGTGTGAAATTGCAGCTTTCTGGTGAAGCTGCCTGCCAAATGACATGCCTATAATGTCTGACCTTTCCTTTGCTCCTTTCCTATTATTAACTAGCTAATTACAATAGTATCATTAGGACAAAAGTATACTTTCTGTCTTTCCCCTGTTTCACATATATTTAATTTCAACAGCTCTGTGGTCCCAAAGCAGTGGTGAAAATAAAGTAAGAGCTTCTCAACTCAAAGATTCTACAACTTGGGGAATGAAGCCAACTGGGTTTGTGTGTGTGTGTGTGTGTGTGTGTGTGTGTATGTGTGTATGTTGCTGTTGTTGTTGTTTTTGACCAACTCATCCCAATGAATTGCATGCATAATGAATCAATTATATTACTTAACTTTGTTATTTATTTCCAGGATTAAAGTATGCAACATTTACTCTTGGGTATTAACATTCTAGAAGGTCATCTACCATGAATTCAAACACAAGCCTGACACCTCCAACTTCCTGACTCTTGGTAAAAGACTTATTCACCTTGTCTGTTTCTGACTGGACTGAGAGAAGATAAGTAACTTGATTTTTTTTTATGCAGATTAATCCAAAATTAACTATTCAACCACATATTTTCAACATGTATTATCATTAAGCCAGGGAATAAAAGAATGAGACAAGTCTCTGAGTGAGCCTACAATCCTGTAAAGAGAAAACACACTTCAGAGTGTGGTAACTGCTATAATGCAAAAGCATATCAAGAACACTGGGAGCACAGAGGATGCTGAAATTTAGTGAAGCCAGGAGAATAATAATGATAAAGACGTGTATCTTTAGTTAAACCTTAAAGTATTGGTAAAACTTCAACAGAAGGATAATGGAAGATAAGCAATAACATGAAGGGGAGAAAATAACCTACTTTTAAGAACCAGGAAATGAGAGAGAGAGAAAATCAAGGCATGGAAAAGAAATTGCCATCTGGTTTAAAGACCCTCTTTGTATAGGAAACTGAAAGTCCTTAACTGAACTTGGAAACATTTTTCTTACAGGATTGGATTTGAAGAAGTGAATTAACCATTCATTAGCCTCAGTTGAGTTTACTATCACTTAGTATATGCAGACACCACTCCAGGCTTATAATTGTACTAGAATAAAATAATCAGTCTTTCTGACTCCATCTTGCTGAGCCTGACATGTCAGTTAGTGATTTCTGCCTGACCTGGCATGTAGATATGCTAATCATTAGAGGAATCTAACCTGTAGCCTAGAAATTACTGAAACCACCTCCCCAAGGAGATAAGGAAGGTGATGCTGGAGGAGCTAGTCCCTAGTGGGGACTGGAGCCCTGAGCCAAGAGGGTTCTTGGCTTTGAGCAGAAAAGAATTCAAGACTAGAGCCAGACAAGAGGTTAAAGTGGAAAAGCATGTTTTATTGAGCAGAGCAGACAAGCAAGAAATGCCACTCCTCACACAGAGTGGTGGACTCTCCTCACAAGAGAAGGAAAAGAGACCAGCAGAAAAAGCCACTCCACACACTCTCCTCATAAGAGAAGAAAGGGAGACCCCAACCACCTCTAGAGTTTGAGCTTATACCTGTTTGTGGTTTCTATGGAAAATTGTTGGTATGGGGAAATAGAGAGTGGGAAAAAGTTAAGATTAAGTTTAACCTATACAAGGTATATTTTGTGGCCTTGTGTTTTCCCTTTATGGTACAGGTGAATGATAAGGTGTGGGTGAGTAGCCATCAAGCCATCTTTGCAGGACTTTTTTTGTCTGGAAGCTCCTTGTGGTCTGCTAGCATCTCCAGTCAGTGAGTTCCTTGTCAGGCAGCACATAGCAGGCCCCTAACTTAACTTTGACTTTAGTTGATTTGTATAGCTCTCATGCCCCTCTCCTATATTAAAGGCATGTACAAAAATAATGATTGTCTATCAAAAGATCTATAGGAACTTTGTGACTGAGATTGTGGCAATGGGAGCTTGAAGTTTCACCATCCCCCTTGGGCCCTTGCTGATGTTCAGGTGTCTGTGGTCATCAACCACCTCCTGACCTCAAACCCCTTCGTTCCCTACTTTCCCTGACATAAAAGAAGCCTGAATTCTGTACTTTCTCAAGATGGTTCTTAAGGATGCTAGCCCCGCCATCCTTATGGGCTGTTGTTCACCCAGCAGAACGGGCTTTCACTTGATTACATATTTATTTATCTAGTTAACACTCATGACAATCCTACAAGGTAATTTTTATAAGTAAGAGATACAATAATGTTAGGAAACTTGTTCAAGCTCAATCAGCTGGAAAGTACTGGGAGTAGGTAGGATTCAGCCTAGATCAAGGCGATACTGTAATCTAGGCCCTTTTACTCCACTGCATATGAAGCTGGGAATCAGAAAATTAACAAGAGAGTGGGCAACTGGGATGGATTTGAGAAACATTCTGGACACTCTAGTTGAATGAATGTGGAGCTGAGAGCGCTGAGTGAAAATGAAATCGCGCTGTTGATGAAATTAGGAAGGCTAGGAGAAACATGTTTGGAGGGAATGATGAGATTGTTTGAGCATGCTGAACTTGACCTCAGCAGGATGAATTAGGTACCTGTTGCAAGTTTGAATCCAGAGGTTGCTTAGCCAGATCAGAGCTAGTGTGATGGGAGTGAGCACTTGCCACAGGCACAAAACTTAAGGGGGAATGGCAAAAACACACACACCAGAAATCAAGATCAATAGTATTCTAATGCAGTATGTTTTGTAATATCAAAACTAATGCCAAAAATGATAACCCAAATATCAAAATTTTAAGTAAAGGAAGGTCAGTATTTCCCTTAAGACCTTGGCCTCCAACATGGTCTCATGAAGCATTGTTAATAATTCTGCTTTTGTTTGAAAAATGTGGTGTTTTTTAGAGAGGAAGAGGGAGAGAGAGATAGAAGCCTTGATGAGAGAGAAACATCGATTATCGATTGGCTGCCTCCTGCATGGCCCCCCCTGGGGATCTAGCCCTCAACCCAGGCATGCACCCTGACCAGGAATGGAACCGAAGACCTCTTGGTGCATCGGTAGATGCTCAACCACTGGGCTACACTGTCTGGGCAAAAATTTGGTATTTTTAAAGATACCACCTCAAAATAGTATTTTTCTTGATTACTAAGCTTTTCTGGTGCAACCCAGGCATGTACCTCAGACCTGGTCTAAGGGAGAGGGAATTTCACTTACCCCTACCAAGGTTTTCTCTTTATTTCTTCACTAGCAGGAGATTATTTCCTTCTATTTTTTATTTCTTCACTAAAAAAGAAAGAAAAGGAATTATCACTAAAACTGAACTACATTAATCACTCTGATTATCTTAAGTCCAGAGCACCAGTTCTCATATTTTTTCCCTAGAGAAAGCAAGAGAAAAAAATGATTTCCACTTTACAGGACATACAATGACTCAGTGACAACGTTAAAACTGAACTTCTTGGTGCTGACACACTAGGTCAGAAGCCCCTCTAGGAAAAAGCTGGGAGAAAATAAAAATATCATCCATATGTATGTGAACAAATCTTGGCCAAATGATTTGGATTGAAAGAATAAGTTTTTGCAAACAGCATGCACTTTTGCATTAGACACAGTTGGCTTGAATTCCTCTTTGGCTACTCACCAGCGGGGTAGCCAAAGTTCTGACAAGTTCCCAAGCCTCAGTTTCCCCACCTGTAAAATGAGCCTTACACACCTACTTTTCATTGTCTGGGTTAGGCAGGAAAAAGAGACTGCAGCCAATGATATTTCTCAACCAGGATTTCAACCTATAACAGATAACACACAAAACAGGAAAATTCCAGACTATTTAAAGTGGCAGGTAAAATAGAGATAAGCTTTAGTGGACATCTTGTCCTTTTTTTTTTTTTTTTTTAC